GATAGATAGATAGATAGATAGATAGATAGATAGATAGATAGATAGATAGATAGATAGATAGATAGATAGATAGATAGATAGATAGATAGATCATTTGAATACGGGAGAAACTTCCTCTTTTTAGCCTTTTAAATGATCTAATATTTTTTATATTTTTATGTGATGTTTTGATGATTTTCGGCCACATGGGGATACTGTTATTGGACGCTCGCCTGCTTCTCAAGCCCAGAAGAAGAGCTCTTCCGTTTTCCTCTCGGCTCCCGCCCCGCTCCGCCATCATGAAGTCCTGAACAAAAACGGATGAGGTCCGAGCAAAATGGGAATAGCACGGAGCGGAGAGGAAGCTCGGCGATAGCGCTAGCGAAATGTGAATGCGAACCGGAGCGGAGTGGTGGCTTTTAACGAGCAAGTCTCCCCGCCGATAAACGTCCCCTATCAGCTCCTGGCGTTGACGCTATTCGGTTAGCAGCGGTGCTAGCAGCAGCCCGGAGCCTTGGCCCTGATTTTTCTCCGTTAGTTAGCTCCGCTTGTGGGTTAGCTGGCAGCCGTCAAGTCAGCTAGCTGTCAGCCTAGACTGACTGACACTTCACTCATGTCAAGTGGAAAAGAGGTGCTAGCTACTGGAAGCACCATGATGGCTGGGGGTTTAGCTAAAACATCGACGGACAGGCAGAATGTGGTCTGTTCGTGTTGATTAGAAACCGGGGAGGAGAGGATAGGACAGTGTGGGGGGGAGAGAAATCAAGATTTTCCTGCCTGGCCAGTCAGCTAGCTCTAGAGCTAGCTACAGTGGATCCCAAAAGCCACGGTAAGTGTTGTTATAAATCATTCAGTGTGGTAAAACAGACAAATCATTACCTCTCCCTGCAGGGGAGTGAATAGATACCATTATCTACTGCTGGATGTTAAGAGCTGACATTCAGCTTATTTACAGCTGAATAAATAGAACTAAGATTTTACCCATTTTAGTAAATTATTCCTATATTGTTTGCAGAGATACTGATGGCATCTTTATAAATGGGTGTGAATTGTCTTTCTATTAAACCCACCAATTTTATTTGTATTTGCTGCTCAAGTTCTAAGAAACAAGCCTTAATAGAAACCACATCAGTGCAACATAAGTCTTTTCTTTTTATTGTGTTGTCTGCAAGCAGCCTGTTAAAAAATAGATCAAGACAGCCGGCATTGGTTGCAATATTTAAACAGCTTCTCGTTTATAAAGGGAACCAGGCAGTTCCTCTTTGATGGCTGCAGGGCAGCTACAAAAGAGCATCTGATGTGGCTTCTTTTTAAAGAATGTGTTTGTGTTCGAGGCTCACGTTTAAGAGTCCTTGTGCTTTGTTAATAAAGCAGGAATTGACTGACATACATGTTTAACAGCCTCTGATTACCACAGAGAAGAGGGAGGACTAGTTTAGCTCATATTATATTGCTGTAATATTTAGCCATAATAACACTGTCTGGTCATTTGGGGTAATGGAGGGTTCCAGCTATGATTTCCAGTCAGCAAACTCTGCCCATGGTGCTCCTTAAAAGATGTAAGATTATAGGAAATATGCACTCAGATTATATGAATTTATTTCCTCTTTATTCTAGATTTTCTCTTTCTTGTGTGTTATTATACACTTGCAACCTTTATAACCCGTGCTGTCTTTGTCTCTGTCATTGTATCATGGAAATAGAAATAGAGAAATACAAATAGAACTTTATTGATCTCGCAGTGGAGAAATTAACACTCTGCATTTAACCCATCCCCATTGGGGAGCAGGTGGCTGCCACTGTGCAGCACCGAAAGAGCAGTGTGGGGTTAAGACTCTTGCTCAGAGACCCAGAGTGCAGGCTGTGGGAATCGAACCAAGTACAAGAGCACTGCTCTAACCACTAGGCCAACACTTCCCCGAAGCTTCTATTATCACAAGTCAGTCTAACAAATAAAAATGTAATTACTCGTAGCCATTAAGATATTTCACTTCAAGTGATTCTATGCAATATAAACCTTGTGCGCATTAATAATGATATACATGTGATGTATTATTTGGATATGAAAGTGTTACTTTTGAGATAAATTTAACAGTTGTGATGAGTCAACATTTTCCTCGCTCTGCTCTTTCTTTTCAATCGTCTCGCTGCCCCCACAGCTTCTTCTTTTACATCATGTTCACAGTTTGCTGCTGTGTTTTCCTAAACATTCCACATTTTTCTCTTGTTATAACTCCCAAACTTCAGTATGCTTAATCAGGATTTTATGGGAAAAGCACCATGCTGCTCTTTTCTAGTGAAGATGCATTTAGCAACCCTGAAATCTGACTGAAAAACACCTGCAGTAATAGAAATAAGAAAGAGAAAGAGTTTGCAGTCTAGAGATATGGCCTTATTTTCTTATCAAAATATTTTGTGGCAAAATTATCAATTAAAGTTGGCGATAAAAACACTCTTCATTAATTCTTTGGGTTGATCCTGTGGCTGTATGCCACAGCAGTTGTAGCCCAACAGTAACAAACTCTACTCCTGAAAACATACAAATTAAAAGTAGCTTTCTTCAGGACACCGGTTACATAACAAAGAGGGATTTATATCACTTAACATCTCAAAGTTACCACATTTACTCATATCCTTTGAATTTTCCAATGCCCCAATAGAAGAAAAAGGGGGGGGATTTGAAATGTCTATTAAATTCACAATTCATAATTTTTGGAGTTTTTTTTATCATCACTGAACTTTAATTTATTGTTTAGACAGTAAATCAAAATTTCGATCATGACTAGAAATTAACCAAAATGGCGATAAACTAAATGCATCCCTATCTAACATATTTGTGTTAAAGTGGCTCATTCAAAGTCTGCATTATAAAAATAAAATAGGACGGCCATTTTGTTGTTTTTGCTTTCCATCCTGTCTGCCTAAGCATGAGTTTTTTTGTTACTCAGTATGAGCGAAAATTAGCAAAGATTTATAATAAAGTGACCTCTGGTTTTAAAATGACTGAATGTAAAAGGTTGCAGGGTGTGAATACTTTAGCAAGGAGGTTTATGTCGGGTGTGAAAAGCAAGCAGCGACGAAATTCCATTCAATTGTCTTTTATTTTATTGATACGGGGCAACGGTAACTGATATTATATATTCACGAAGTATACATTTAAAACTGTTAAAATGTTTTAAATAAATGTAACATTTATGACACTCTGATTCTAAAATATTGCCTAGGTCTGAAGTATTTCCTTTATTAGGTGACAAAGCTGCTCACTGTGGCTGAAACACTGTTTTTAAGTTATTTATTGCAATTTAAAACTGAAACATAAGCTTTAAAGTTATGCCTGAACTTCAGTGTCAGGTTTTCAAAGCTGGTGGCTTTACAAAGAAACCATTCATGTTGCGATGAAACTTATCACTTCTTCCTGCAACAGAGAATCAGAACTAGATGGTATCAGTTGTAATTAAAACATATTACTCTGTGTCTCAGCTGTTTAGCGCATTCTCCGTAACCTTAAATTAACTTCCCAATGAGGCTTTTATTCTACAAACGCAGGGAAATCCTGCGGCCTAACGTCTCTCCGCTTTAGGCAAATTGTGAGCAGCTTCATGGTTTTCAGTTATCATCGGTGTAGCTTTGACAGTTTGTCTCTCCCCACAGACATGCCGAACCAGTTTTATCCCCCATCAGAATACAGGGAGGAAAGACATTTTAACTCTGTAGGTTTTAAGTAAAAGTTGTAGCTGTCTGTTAAAACAATTTGTCGCTCTGGTTCTGTAGAAACTAAAACTGTCTAATTGTTGGAAATGTTGGACCTTCTGTGTTTAATCCCAGTTTCTACATTTAAAGTTCCTTCTACAAATATTTAGACTTAGACATATTTATTCTGTAATTTTGCATACATGAATGTAAAACAAAAATAAATTTCATTTAAAATATTAAACTCAGTGCTCACTTTTTGTACAATTATATCACACTAATATTAACACAAATGTTTACGTAATTAATAAAATACCCTAAATATATCTAATATTGGCACTGCCAAAGCGATGCTGACAAATATACTTTATCATATGCTATATGATTACATTACAGTTGTTACTTTTATTTTCCCACATTTGATCCTGTTACAGCCTCATGTTATTTCAAAAATTTAATGTGATTGATCAACATTCAGGAAGAAGTAAATGAAATGTAAAAACTGGCATGCATTGTTTTCAGCCTCTTCTTTTACTCCGGTGCCCTATATAAAAACTAAAAAGTAATTTTCAAACACCCTCTAAGCAGAGATCACTGATCACACCTCATCCACTGTAATAATGATTGCAGCTTTCTGTCTAGAAGAGGCTTTGCTTCCTCTTTATGGCGAAGGTGTGTGGAGCTAATTGTAGCGCAGTCCTCTAAGAAACCTTTTAAACAGCTATTGAGGAGTTGGGATTAGTGTGGAGGTTCTCTTTCCAGCGAGACAATCAGCAAAAATCACACAGACAGACTTGTAGGGAATGCTTAAGATCAGAGAATATTCTTTTTTTAGAATGGCCTAGTCAAAGTTTCTGTGTGGCTAGAGTTGAAAATGTGTGTTCTGTCATTCTTCAGACTATCATTGAATTGTAGCTACTTTGGCCACTGTGTAGTTGTGCAAATCTAATAGAATATCACAACAGACTTTCAGCTGATATAAAAGTCCTTTTTTTAAATCAGTTTTTTCATGTAATAAAGAAAATTTTCTATAAAGCCCTGACATGTGATGAAGAAAATGAGCTATAATTCAGTCTTTCAACATTTTAATACATGGAACCAATGTTGATAATGAATCTTTATCTGAAAGAAAAGGACATGGTTACGAACAGTCTAACTGGTGTTCCTGAGTGCTGTTTTAACACGAAGGGTTTCTTTAGCATGTAGTTTTGTCTTTATGGGGATTTATTTTTAAATCCCCCTTTAATGTAAAAGATGAAAGAATTTGTCAAATTAAAAGTGCTTCCTGCGCTGCTTTGACAGTAACTTGATCTACAGAGGATATTGCTTCACTTCAGCATCTTGTTTTAATGCTAGCTTGTTGGTTATCCTTATTTTCTTTGGTCGACGTTTATTAGCATTCGGGCTATTTAAACCTGTTCAGCCTATTTATTATCCTCCATTTTGTAATGTTTCAGTTTTGTGCAACTTTAAATAATGTGGCAGGAAGTCCGACACATTTGCTATTATAAAGTTAAATAAGTAATTTTAAAAACGTGAAAATGCTAAATGCTTTTATCTGTACCCTAAAAATAATGGTTTATTTCGATTTTATTGCTGTGTTTTTTCTGGGGGCTGGTCATGCTGTGTTTGTTAGGTCATGTGATGGGGATAGGGGATAGTGATGCAGTGAAGGAATGTGGGATCATTTATTGAAGCAGTTTCACAGGTCTAGTTCATTTTTAATTGTGTTAAAAGAGAATTATTAGTATTTATATTGGCCAAACTGTTCATATTGATGCATCCTGATTGAAAACTGTTTATATGTGTGGCCGTGGTTGTTGCACACACTTCAAAACTCCAAATTTGATTCCTCTGATTTTATATGGCAGTTGGGGGTTTTATTCTCGAGAGTTTTTTTTTATTTCTTGTTTTGCTCTTATAATGCATGTCCACTTTCTGTATTAGTTTAAGAGCAGTTTGTATCCTACCTCTGTTGGATATCTAGAAGGCTTGCATAAGTGTGTAATTTCCTCTGAAGATCTCGGAGCACTGATTGTTCATGGCAAACTGGACCACATATACTTCTGCAACCCGTTTTTTCCAGCAGAAGTGTTTGTAATCCATCCAAACAACAGACGCTCACCCAGCATGTGTCTCTTCCACTCTCGCCAGGCGCTGGCCATGCCCTCGAGTGTGCGGGCCGGGAGCCTGAAGGACCCGGAGGTGGCAGAGCTGTTCTGCAGGGAGGACCCTGAGAAGCTCTTCACGGACCTGAGGGAGATAGGCCATGGGAGCTTTGGAGCGGTCTACTTTGTGAGTTTTTACTTTGTGTTTCGGTGGAGCTTTTGCTCTGCAATGAGGATGTCTGCTAGTTCTGAAGCCGTGAATGTTTGATGCACATGTGTGTCTCCCATGTTATCTGTCCCAATTCTGTCACTTCAGCGATGTTGTTTATTTACAATACAGTTAGTCTGGTTATTAATGCAAGTCAAATTCACTCCCTACAAACTGAGTTTTGTCTATTTTCCTTTTATTTTTTATTTATTTAATCTGATCCAAATAACTTACAAACCCTGAGATATTTTAGCTTAGGAAGCAGAGCCTGCAAAGGTAAACAACATCAGCTAAGCAAGTAAGTTAATGAAATATCACAGTTGGGGCTGAAACAATCAGATTAACCGTGATTAATCCATTATTGAAATAGTCGCCAAATAATTTAGTAAAGAATTAAGCCTTAACTTGAGTATAGAGACTGTAAAACATGCCTTTAGCTGAGAGGAAAACCCAATTAGAGCAGTATTTATGTCAAAATGGTAAAAAATATATATAAACCTTTTGCAGCCCTTGTTAATTTACTTCAAACCAAATGGAAAAACTGCAAATTGGATTTCTTTATTTGTTTTTTCAAACTTTTATAAGTTTGCTTAAAAATGTTGAATTTCAGTTGAAGGATAACACCCCTAAGAAGAATTTTATTTTACAGACAAAGTGTGTTAGTTTTAATGGTTTATTATCCTTTGAAAGTTAGCAACAAGACATGAGCAAACATTTTCCTCCTTACTTCTCTTGGCTGGTTTAAAAAAAAAAAAAAAAAAAAAAACAGGTTCTCACCAGGTACTCCCTCTTCCTCCCACAGTCCAAAAACTTGACCGTTAGGTTACTTGGCTTCTCTAAGTTCTCCTTAGGTGTAACTTTGTGGGTTTACATGGTTTTGTTTCCCTGTGTTGCCCTGTGATGGACCGCCAACCTGTCCATCCCGGGGTCAGAGTGGTTGACATTAAGACGAGTTGATGACTTAATGCAGATGAATTCCTTTTATTGGTACCAACAGTAAGATCGACGAACTGGTTTTTTAGATGAAAATGAAACCGATGCCGTATTACTGTTAAAGCACAAAGTGGGTCAAACCTCACAGACAGAATAGAAGGGTGAAAACAATGTGAGTCAGGGACAAAGAACAACTTTCTGACGGTTGGTGAAAAGACCTGTTTAATGAAGGATGAAAAAGAGCTAGTCGAGGGCTGGAGAGAGGAGGACAGCGAGCTTTATGTAACAGTAATTGCTTTGCCATCTTCCGTTTTATAAATGGTAGATGAATCATAGTTTTTCTTTTAAAGGAACAAAATCTTCATTTATGTCTCTAGACACGAATCCCTATAAACAGGCTCAGCATAAACTCCTGCATTATCTGATCCTTTTTCACATTTACCCGCTAGGCTCACGACATCCGCACAAATGAGGTGGTGGCCATCAAGAAGATGTCCTACAGCGGCAAGCAGTCCAACGAGGTAGATGAGAACAAAGTGGATCAATTTAATCTGCTGAAGGCAGTAGAAAACACACCCCTGGGATTCAGCTGGAGCACATTTACCTGTCAGTGACTGTGGCTCTGTTTCTGCTCCAGAAATGGCAGGATATCATCAAGGAAGTGAAGTTCCTACAGAAGCTGCGCCATCCCAACACTGTGGAGTATCGAGGCTGCTACCTGAGAGAGCACACAGCCTGGGTGAGTCTGTGTGCCGTTTCCATAGCGGCAGGGTTACTAACACTCTGAGCTGCTGCCATTATTTGAACTATTTTGTGCTGTGGAAAATATTTTACATTTTTTCTTTTAAGGCCTCTTAGTTAAAAAGCAAATGCTCTATAAATGGGTTAAAACTGTGACCTCTTCCACGCTGAGGGGCTTTTCTGCACACGTCAGTTTCGAACTGGATTCTCTTTCACCAGCTTCAGCCATGGTCTTCATGAATTCTTTTCTTGAATCACATAGTTTAAACACAAATAAAATAGTATCTGTAGGGTGTAGAACCCGTCTCCTTCCTGTACAATAACCTGGTTGGACATTGCTGTGATGTTTGTACTGAACAGAGGAATATAGAACCTGCAGAAAAGTAGGAATTTTACCCAAGATTGAAGTAGAGCTATTGGGGTCCACATTTCTCACCCTGATTATTTTTTTCATTGTTGTGTGTTTTAAAATGTATTCCCAGGTTTGCTTTAGTTTAACTTGAAAAGTAACAAAGTCAAGATTATTAACTTTAGTTTGGGACTGCAATGTTTACTTTCCTGATTTCTTTCGCACTGGTGACAGCATCAACGCTAACCCACAGTGATGGAGTCACTAGCTAGGCAGTGGCGGAGGGACAGAGGTCATGCAGCCTGCCTGCGGGGGGGTCAGACCTGGCTTTTTTTTTTCAATAGGAAGGGAGCCAAACAGTGGCGGCTGGTGGACTTTTCTCCGGGGGTGCTATAACTTCAAAACAGACGTATACCAAAAACCAATCAAATGTATACTAAGGTATATTTACACCAGTATATTGATATGAATGCCAACAACAGACACACAACATAATAAAAATTTACTGAAAAGTGGGTCAGACCCTGATGTTTGAAAAAGGAGGCAGGGAAAGCAGAATAAAGCATAAGCCTTGCTGCATGCAGCTAGCCAAGCCTTGTTGCTTAATAATTATAAAAACCTGTCATTCAGCCACCTTTTATAACTGACGACTGTGACATAAGGTGGAAGGTCGGGGTGCAAATAATGTTGCTTTCATCTCTGGGAGCAGGAGAGGTGTGCCTCAGGATGGTCCTACCTTTCGCATGGAAGAGGAGCTACTGCACATTTACAACTTTTAACGAGAGTCAATGGGCAAAGATTTTTGCACCCCAGGGAAGAAATACAGTAGATCACCAATCCAATGACGAACGAAACAGCTTTACTCATCATTAAAGATTAAATATTTATCTTGCACATCTAAAAAATGTATTAATATATTTTGAAATATTTCAACTTTATAATTTTAGTTTTATTAGTTTTGTCTTAATCAAGATCATTGGCTGAGGTGGGCAGCGCCCGTGTGCCATCTATTGGCCAGCCGCCACGTAAGCCAAATGCTGTTTGTTAGTAGGTCGACCCATGTTAACCTGCTAATTTCAGTGGGAAAGATGTTTAAGATGCTGCCAAACTCCATTTTTAGTCCATGTATTGGTGACTCTGTGTAGTTGGAGAAGAAGTTTTGCTTTGGAGAATGTAAAAACCATACAAGTTCTTTTTTCTTAGTTTCTTTTTTACCCTCCCTCTACGCTGCTTTTTTTGTTCAGGTGTTAGAATCGTCTAAGATGAGAAGCAGGAAGACTAGGCCCCTTTAGTCTTGGTGATCTCTGTAAAATCTGTCACCTTTGTTTGGTCTCTGCATGTTGTTGTTGTTGTCGCCGCATCCATGTTTGACTAATCTGTGTGACCTCACAACTTCCTGAAATGGCGGGATGTGAAAATATGTTTAAATATTAGCTCCTGGTTCCTTTTGAAATTTACTAAGAATTTACAGAAAACTTTTGTCAATTAAATGTGATTAAAAAAAAAATCTATGAAGACCTGCAATACAACTCCAATATCAAAACAATACAAAATTAATCCTGTTGGCTCTTAACAGCTACTCCTTAGTTTGCTGAATTCAGTCTTCCTGTTTGCTCTTTTCTAGCTGGTGATGGAGTACTGTTTGGGTTCAGCGTCTGACCTGCTAGAAGGTAAGAGGAGATGAAACATTTCCTGATATTTTATTGTGTTTTCAGTCAATTATTTATGCAAATGTACAATTTGGTCTCCACAGTCCACAAGAAACCCCTCCAAGAGGTGGAAATAGCTGCCATTACCCACGGTGCTTTGCAGGGACTGGTGTATCTTCACTCTCACAACATGATTCACAGGTAACCCTCTCTTTATGCCCCACTCTCCTCTTCCACTCTTCTGACAGGAGATGAAGCAGAAACCAGAGGAGGCATAAACGGTTCAGCCTAACTAAGCTTATGCAACTGTTTGTGCTGCAACACTTTCTGGTACAACATGCTGCTCTCCAGCCTCCAACGTACTGACTCATCCTCTCATGTCTCACCGTTCGCGTTGCCTTCCTCCGTTTTTATCTCTGACACTTTTCTTCTGTGTTGTCCTTTCTGTCTGTTAGGGATGTGAAAGCAGGAAACATCTTGCTCACAGAACCGGGTCAGGTCAAACTGGGAGACTTCGGCTCTGCTTCCATTGTTGCTCCAGCTAACTCTTTTGTGGGAACACCATACTGGTAAAACATCCAGTCTCTTTTTTTTTTTTCTTTATTCTCATATAATAACAGCTGGTCTGTATGTAGCGCTCCAGCACTGCCACTGAAATGCCCCTAAACAAGAGGAGGAGCTCATGTAGGTTTTATTTTCTTGTTTCTTCTTTAAATACATTTATTAAATAAACATTTTTTTGTTTATAGATTAAACTAATGAAAAGCTAAGTTTTGGCCCGATTTGGGCAAATAAGGGTGAGATTACTTAAACCAGCACATGGAAAACGCTCTCTGGAGAAAAAATCTGCCATCGACCACCTTATCAAAAGCAAGCAAATAATTGTTGACATTTTAAAAGCTTCCAGACTGTAGGTCTTCTACTTCTGCCCTGCCCAACAAAAAATAGGTTTGACTCAGTCTGACTGTCCTGCAGCTGTAAGAACTGATTTTTTACTGTGAAGTCTGGGTAGGTTGAGTAAATCAGATTGGCGGACGGACCTCCCTTCTAAAAAGCAGCTGTTTGGTTCTTCTAAACATCCGAAGGGTTTATTTTTGTTGCCAGGAAAGCTACAGCAAAGTAACAATCAGTGTTTGCATGAAAAAAATGGTTGAAGTCGAAGATTCTTTTGTTTCATAGAATATAGAAAAAAAACAGCAGGTTCCTTTTTATTTTTGCATTCCAATTTTAAATTAAACATATGTTTCATATAGGGGGAGTGTTGGCCTAGTGGTTAGAGCAGTGCGTTTGTACTCTTGAGAAGGTTTCAAGTACCCGATTCGATCCCCAAAGCCTGCACTCTCGCTCCCTGAACAAAACCCCTAACCCTATACTGCTCCCCAGGCACCGCAAGGGGATGGGTGAAATGCAGAGGTAAATTTCTCCAGTGCGAGATCAATAAAGTTGAATGATTTTTATTCATTTATATTTGATTTAAATGTCATTTTGAGGCTTAGATTTCTTATCATGAACAGCAACACAGGAGCATTGAATGCTTAGAAACTGCCAACTTGGTCACAGACTGTTTTGCAAAATGGTAAAAAGCACTTAGAAATACCAGCTGCAAGATGCTACTGGGTGTGAACATTGTTCAGAAATCCCAGTGCGAAGTTTCTGTGTGATGCACCATTTTTGAACTAGAAGGCTTGTCACCGCTGCCCTATTTCAAACTGCAGTCACATCCTGCATAGAGACAATAATAATGGCTCCTAAACTAATATACAGTAGTTATGTTCATTTGTTCCATCAATAATTTGTTATTTGACCTTAAATTTTTCAGCACGTCCGTCTGTTTAGAGAGCAAACAGCAGCAGAGGAAATGTGTGAATAAAAACATCCAAACACTTCATGGTAGACCTTATCAACCTTTTAAAATAACCTTTATCTGTTCTCCCTATACTTAATTTAATGGTGAAATTATGAATTAACAAGAGAAAGAACTGCTGTCCATTCACTGTTTATTTATGGGGTAAAAATGTTTCTTCTCTAAAAAAAAAACAACAACAAAAAACAAACAGATGATGCACGGGTTTGTTGGGGTTTCTTTTTGCATAATAGAAAAAACAGGTTTTCGTTAACATTATTCTCGTGTGGTAAAAACCATAGTTGTCTTGACTGTTTTACTTTACAGTCGCAGAATGTAGGAAATGTTCTCAATTACTGTCTTAACTGAGACTGAGTAATAACTCTGTTATTACATGTTGTAATTGTTGCCACATACTCGGATAAGATTTTGACGTAGATTGTTATGCAAATTTCTGACCTTTCCACACCCTTTATCTGGAATATATTAATGTACTTGTTGGGCATGAAGCTGAAAACGAGACAGATAAACGGCCCTAATGTGGCAAGGTTTCATTTTATTAAAGATGAGGATGTTTTTATAGGGAGCAGTCTGCTAAAGTCCAAAGCTAACGCTAGCCTGCTTACAGTCTTTGTTTTCACTTTGTTTTCACAACCAGTCCAGTTATCCTTGTAGACATTTGTTTTATTCTTTAGCTGTAAAGGCTGAAAAAAACGTATTGAAAGAGGGAAAATCATATTTTAAATCAGCAACATAATAGCACAGCTGATTATGTTTTGCAAGATGTGTATGCAAAAATGAAAGCTGTTTTCAACATTTCTTGTGCAAAAACCTGATTGCACAACTTTCTGTGGATTGAGCTGCTACAAACTCCCAGGCATCAAATAAATGGGTAATTTTTAATGAACGTTCACAGCCCTGGATCACCAGAGATACTGATGGAGGAATTCAGATATTTAAAAATAGAAAGAATGTGGTATAACTTTTATCAATATAATCATCATCAATGTTAAGCAACAAAATTAAAATGTTGGTTTTTATTTATAATACATGCATCTCCAAATTCACAGTTTTGTGCAGGTAATACATTAGTTTTTATGTATTTTTTTTACTTCTCACTCTTTCTAAATGTGCTTGAATGCGTTAATCCTAAACTTTCACACCATAAAAACAAAGAATTGCTGTCTTTAGCTTAGATGAGGTGTGTTTTAGTCACGGCCCTATTAGGGCAGCTTGCCTGCTAAAATGCAGGTAGTGTTTTTCCATCCTCGGTGTCTGATTCCAGCAGGTAGAATTACTGGAGATATAGTAGCCCCTCCCCCATATCGTCGGTGAAAGTAGTGCTGACGTTGGAAATGAAACCGCCCCAAGGCGCAGCTTTGTGTTCAACGATCAAAGAAAGGAAGAAACATTGAAATGGCCGAGTTGTTGTTGATTTCTTGTTTCCTCCATGCAGGATGGCCCCTGAGGTGATCCTGGCCATGGATGAGGGACAGTACGACGGGAAGGTGGATGTGTGGTCACTTGGCATTACCTGCATAGAGCTGGGTAAGAGATGGCCCTAAAATAGTCCCATTAGAGTCTAAATGATAGACGTGTTCATAAAGCTGAAACCATTTCCTCTTTCTTTTATGTCACTCTTTGTTTGTGTTATGCTTTGTCACTTTGTAGCGGAGAGAAAGCCTCCTCTGTTCAACATGAATGCTATGAGTGCCTTATACCACATCGCCCAGAATGAGAGCCCCGTGTTGCAGTCAAATCACTGGTGAGAAATGACTATTAGGAGGAGTGGGAATGGTTCTTTATCCGCTAGAGTTAGGTCAAAAGCTAATTATCTTGCTTCAGATGATATTCAGTTGTCTAGATGAATAAAAAACAAAGTAAACACTGAAGCAAACAAGCCTTTACTTGCATGTTCTGTCACTTCAAACAACAATGTTGTCTTATTACATTATTATGATGTCCCTTTCCTCTGGGGCTTTAATGTCAACATAGCAAGATGTCTGAGTGTTTTATAGATTCTTAAATTATATTTGAAAGAAAAAAACCTACAGCCTTCATGGTGATTGAAAGAAGTTATACTGACTTTATTGCATTGTACCTCTATTTACAACAACTGCTGTACAATAAAACCGAACACAAGACAAACAAACCAAACAATAAAAGGCACAAAGGAGCAGTTAAGGTTAACAACAAAGGAGAGGCCAATGACACTAAAATCAAAGGTAGTCATGATTTTACCCTTGATCTAAAGGAAGAGGTTCAAATATTTGTTCTGGAAAAGAGTAAACATGAAATAAAGGTTTCTACTTTATTTGTCATGATGAAGTATTCTAGTTTAGGAGCTGCGTCGACCAAGACCTGAGAGAGGGACATTTGCATAAATATGTAGTGATTCAAATAAAGCTTAACTGACTTTATAGAAATAAGAATCTTAAAAATTATTCATCCTTGGACTGATAGGCATTTGAAAGGCGGATCCTTTTTTCCTTTAAAATGGCAAATCTAACAATTCAAACCACAAGATTATGTTTGGTTTGTCTCAATGCAAGAATTATTACTTAATTTAAAAAAACAAAAAAAAATCTATATAATTATGTGGATATATTTTCTTCTTTCATATTATATTAAACAATATTTTCTTTACAAGGTAGTACGGTAGCGGCTGGGAAGAAAAATGTCCATTGGGCTTCAGTAGAAAATAAAGGATAAAAATCTGGAAATCTTATGCTTGCTGGAAAATATGTTTGTTTATGTTGATTTTGTTGTGTGCATAACAAGTCAAACATCCAACAGTCTTAATGCAAAAACATCTTTGAATTATAGCCTACTCTGCAACGAAAATAAGATTTTTTATTTACTGTGTTTTTCAGGTCAGATTATTTCCGGAATTTTGTGGACTCTTGTTTGCAGAAGCTCTCCCCGGACAGACCTACCTCTGATGTGCTGCTTAAGGTACGGACATTCTAGAGATGAATGTTCTGCAGTGATGCAGGAAGGCTTGAGATTATTAGCATTATTTTGGTGATGGACAAATTGGAAGAGATTAGAGGAAATGTCTTTTGTGCAGGATGTTTTAATTTGATAGGTCATATTTTTTATGTATTTCATACATTGAGCTGATGAATATGACCAGGAATCAAAGTATTTGAGCTAATGGTGTAGTAATTTTTTTTTTTTTTATTAAGAGTTAATGGTTCTTCTTTTAAAGGCATTAACCAACAGAGGGCCTCCGTCATATTTTCACCTCCCTGTTTCTGTCTCCTTGCTCTGTCCTTCCATTCAGCACCACTTCCTATGCAGAGAGCGTCCAATGACTGTAGTGATGGACCTGATCGCACGAACCAAGGATGCTGTCCGGGAGCTCGACAATCTGCAGTACCGCAAGATGAAGAAAATCCTGTTTCATGAGGCCCACAATGGTCCAGCACCAGAAGGAGGCGATGAGGAAGAGGTGAGGTTGAGATGGAGGAGAAAAGGAAAGTTCAGAAAATAAAATATGTCAGACTTAATTTCCTGTTGTATTATCTTAAATTCGATCCTTTCTGTCTATCCATTTTGAATTAGATCATAAACTCATTTGTCATTCAATATATCTTCTATATTTTTATATTATAAGCTGAAATGTTTATGCCACTATTTCTAGATAACCTGCAGAGGAAAAAATAGTTTTTCTCTATTTCAGATCCAAGTTCCTCATTCTGCTTCCGTCTTTTTCCCCAGGATGTGGAAGGGTACATGTTGCGCACCGGGACAGTGAACAGTATGGAGAGCTCCCACTCTCTGCCGTCCATGTCTATCAGCGCCAGCTCTCAGAGCAGCTCGGTCAACAGCCTGGCAGACGGTTCGGATGACAGCGGAGAGATGGTCATGATGCAGGAGGGAGAGCACACTGTCACCTCCAACAGCTCAGTCCTGCACAAACCTCTGGTCAGTCCAGGCACTTTATTTTATTCTGTTGTTTACTGCATGTTTTAAAGAAAGAACTATGAGGTAATAAAAACACATTATGGAGCAGAAAGTAGTAGCTGAATGCTCCCTTTTGATTGATTGATGACTTTATTGATCTCACAGTTGAGAAATGTACTTTTGCTCTGTTTTTAAGTCGCAGCAGCAGTAAATAGTATTAGCAAAATGCTAATACTATTAATTTCTTGATTTTTAACCAGTTATTTGGTTCAAGATCCTTTTAAAGATGTTTGGGTTTGAAACACACAGTATCTGTTTCAGTGCCTGAAAGCTAAAATTAAGTTGTTTTGGTTTAATTCAAAAAATCTAACTAGTGCCCCCTAGAGGAAGTGTGAAGTAACAGCACTACAGGGTTACATCTAGAGATGTATGTGCTACTATTGGAAAAGCAGAATTATTGGACTGAAATGATGAAAAACAATGCAGCATTAGTTGCTTTAAGTCAGAAAAAACAACATTATTAAACCGTCTGCCCTTTTCTTTGAGGTCAGAAAGGCCCTTTTGGACACCATTGTTCTTCATCAGGGACATTTATGTGCTTAATACTTTAATTTGTGACTCCTGGTTTGTTATGGAAGTATAGCATAAACAAGAAAATCTTGTTATTTACCAAAACCCAAAAAGTAGCATTAAGATTTTGATAAAATAAAATAAATCAGTAGCAGGTATGGTTTGACTTTAAGTCACTAAAAAAAGTAGATTTGCTCTCTTTGACTTATAGTATATTTAATTAAAAAATATATATGTTAAGTACAGATATTATTTTGGTATATTTGTTATTAAATTCATGGTATTTATTTTTTCACCTAGCAGATCACAAGACTAAAAGACTTTAAATCGGTTAGGAAAAAATTATTCAAAGTTTCTCTCCATTTATAGAGCCATGACAACATCTACGATGACCCATATCAGCCAGAAGTGGACTCTCAACGGGAAGCTTCGTCTGGTGGCGGCGGAGGAGGGGGAGGGGGAGGCGGCGGCAGGCGGCGACGCCGGGACCACTTTGCCACCATCAGGACCGCCTCATTGGTCACTCGTCAGATTCAGGAACACGAGCAGGGCTCGGCTCTCAGAGAGCAGATGTCGGGGTAAGATCAGAAAGGATGTTGAAAGCTTAGATTATGTAAAAAACTAATTCATAGCACAGAAAGGTCATAAAAATGGTGTTGGAGCTCAAGTCGTTCCTGCTGAATGATTTTGATGTAGGTACAAACGTATGCGGCGGCAGCACCAGAAGCAGCTGATGGGTCTGGAGAACAAGCTGAAATCAGAGATGGACGAGCACCAGCTGAGACTGGATAAAGAGCTGGAAAACCAAAGGAATAATTTCTCCATGGAGCTGGAAAAACTGTCAAAGAAGAACCAGGCTGTCCTGGAGAAGGAGGTGAGCATCGGCTGGAGCTAGAAGAGCTAACCTAACTCCTGCCACAATCTACTTCTTCAGTTCAGGGGAAACTTGTGGAGAAAATTTGCTCTCACATTCAAGAAATGTTTTTTGAAAAATTTCTAATTGAGATTTTTTAATTTCCCAGACAAAGGCTGTGGTAACAGAGGAGAAGAAGTTCCAGCAGCACATCCTGGGCCAGCAGAAGAAGGAGCTGACCAGTCTGCTGGATTCCCAGAAACGCCAGTACAGACAGCGCAAAGAGCAGCTTAAAGAGGTGCCTCCAAACCCAAACCAGACACTCACTGCTGAAGATTATTTTGATCTATCCGTTATCCTGGTGCTAATTGTTTGCTGATGCTGTCATCTCTTTGAAGGAGCTGAACGAGAACCAGTCCACACCGAAGCGGGAGAAGCAGGAGTGGTTGGTGCACCAGAAGGAGTGTATGCAGCAGCTGCAGGCAGAAGAAGAAGCCGGGCTGCTGCGGAGGCAGAGGCAGTATTATGAGCTCCAGAGTCGGCAGTACAAGAGGAAGATGCTGCTGGGCCGCCACAACCTGGAGCAAGACCTGCTCAGAGAGGTTCGACTGTCTTCTTCATTTATAACCTCCTGATGCTGTGTGCTGTAAATGTGAGGAGAGGTAACTGAAGTGATGCTTTAATTCATCTTGTAGGAGCTCAACAAGAAGCAGACTCTGAAGGACCTGGAGTGTGCCATGCTGCTGCGCCACCACGAGTCGACGCAGGAGCTGGAGTTTCGCCAGCTGGGCGTGGTGCAGCGGACGCGGGCCGAACTGATCCGCACGCAGCACCAGACGGAGCTCACCAACCAGATGGAGTACAACAAGAGGCGCGAGCAGGAACTGAGACAGAAACACGCCGTGGAGGTCCGGCAGCAGCCCAAAAGCCTCAAAGTGAGTGAGAGCGCCCAGAGCCAGGGTTCGCCTGAGGAGGGTCCCGTCGGGAGCTGGGACGATGAGGCGGTACCCGGGAATAATGAGTTAGTAGAGGGGGATGGAATGATGGAGCAGGAAGAGCTCAGAGATGGTGATGATTTTAGAGAAGAGGAGGTGGATGGAGGGCATGTCTCAGATAGTGAAAGGAAGTATGAGATGGATGAGGTTAGTGAAAGGAAGGGAAGTGATGTAAGAGAAGATGAAGATGTTGAGGAGAGGGAAGTAGAGGGGGTACGGTGGGAGGACGAGGAAATGCAGGATAAGATTTGTCACATTGACACTGATGAAGAGGAAGAGGAGAGCCGAGGCGTGGCCGACGGATGTCCATCAGAGCTCATCTCCTCCCCAGAAAGGAGGCGGCACCGCGAGCGACAGCTGGATGAGCTTTCAGAGTTTTATTTTCCTGAAACCCTGGAGGAGCTGGAGCCCGTTCCCGTCTCCTCTCCTCCTACTGCTCCCCCCGCCCAGACCTCCTTTCCCTCCCTCTTTTCTCACGCCATCTGCCTCCTCCTTTCCCTCTCTGCCGCCGCCCAGCCCTCCAACCTCACCCTGCTGCTGCTCTCCATCTTCCTGCTCTCGCTCCGCCGCTCTCCCCCCCTGCCCTCCGTGGCCTCGGTGGTGCTTTCGGCAGAGCTGGCCTTCTTGGCGCTCTTCTTCTCGTACCTTCTGCTGCGGTCGTGCTGCTCGCTGTCTCTCTCCACCTTCCTGTCACTCAGCCTCTGGGGCAGCGGTCTCTTCAGTTTAGGCCTGTCCTTCAGTTTAGGGATCTACTACATCCCCATCATTTTAATCTCTGCCTCTTTCCTCAGCTCTCCCTCCCTCTTTCTCTCTCTCTATCTGCTTGTGGTTCTTGTCGTCAGACCGGCCCGCAACTTCTTCCAACAGGCTCCTCGTAAACTCAACCGCTTGTGCATGCGTGTGCTTTTCCGCCTGCCCCGCCCTCTGTTTGCCATGTGCCAGTCGGTGTTGGGTGGCATGGCGGAGCGAAACCTTTACGAGATGTTCCCCAAAGCTGGCCGCAACTGGGGCGTCCGTCAGTCCAGGATCCCTGTCCCTTTAAAGAGCCTGCCGTCTGAGCATCTGGCTCATTGCAGCAGCACCTCTCATCTAGCTAAGCTGCTGCTGTGGCTGAGGCGTTTTAGCAGACGCCCACTCGGCGTGCTAGCGGACTTTGCTAACACTATCATCCTAAAACTCGCCAGGCAGATCCTTAAAAGCCTACCGCTCCGTTTCCGGGTTAAACTCCAAACCCTGGGCGTCCTGAAGAAGGAGCTGCCCAGCAGGTTGCCTCGGCTCTTGCCCAGGGAGGTCCGAGAGAGGAGGCAGAGGGAGAGAAGAAGGAGAGAGAGGGAGAGGAAGAGGAGGGAGGAGAGGGACAGGATGTATCGAGAGGAGGGGAGATGGGAATGTGGACTTAGGAGAACTGCATCTGGAAGGTTTGTGAAGGGGAAAATGCGGCCGTGGAGATAGCAGAAGGTGAAGGAAAGCGTGTGTTTGAGCTTATTGATCATCATCATCACTTTAGGATCCCTCCTGTTAGATGATTCCCCCAAACAGGTTCATGGTCACATTTCTGATTCCCTGAAATGGTTTCAGGTCTGAACAAGCAGTGAATCTTTCCCATTTCCCTATTGTGCTTTTTGTAAAAGTTCTTAAAAAAATTCATCAATTATTATTTTGTTCTTAATTTCTAAGAAGAATCTTTTTTATGGTTATTTTAAGACCGTTTTAATTTTTTTTTTTCTTCTGTTATTTTTGTGCAATCCTGTGTTTTCCTTTATAGTGGTTTTATCTGAATGTGCGCACTAGTTTGCCAGTGCTTAGAACAAATATGTCAGTGTTACTCTCCACAAATGAAACTTCACTCCTTACTGCTAAACAAGCTGTGAAAATAAAAAGGGTTTTGATTTCAGAGCGATTTCACTAACGTCACACTGAACACTAGCTATCAGTCAGAATAAAAGTGCAATAAAGGGACGAGTAGATGTACAGCGCCAGACTAATTTACTGTCCCCATGTTAGATGAAAGTGACCCTCAAATCCATCCCTTAACGACGAAGTCAATTGATGAAAATCAAACCTTTCAGTTTAAATGTGTTTCTTTTTAAATGGAAAAGCTCAGAAGAAATAGAAAAGTTTTTTTCTCCTTAATATATATAGGAGACGTGGGCCCAGAGCATCACAGATCCTCCACCATACTTAACATTGGACAAATGCTCTGATGCTTAGAACAGAAAACAGATTAATTCATTATGATGATAAATGCCTAATTACCTGGCACTTTCTCTGTTTTCCCCATTTTAAGAGTGGTTACAAGAAGGTGCATGTATACCAGGACATTTATACCTCTGCTAATCTGCAGTGGATCTATCATTAAACGCTCCCAGAGCCACCAATCTTTTTTTTATTATTTAAAGCCTTAGGTTAAAACAAATATTTAGTCACATTGATTTCATATAACCAGTCTGGGATGGCTTTAAACACGGGAGTTATTTCCTGCTAAATTCATATATTTAAACTTAAAGTTGTTGTTTTTTCCTTAATTTTCCTAGATTTTCTGGAGTAATAAAATATACAGTTCATTTAAACTCATTAAAATACAATAATGTGCCAATAAAATATTGACGCCGCGTTTAAAAGCTAGCTTCATAAAGCATTTGAAATCAGCCTTCTTCGCCCATCGCCTTTACGTTTGCGATCTTATTGCGCTCAATGCAATAGCCTTATGATTTACAATGTAAACATTTCCCCCTTTTTCAATGTTAAAGTGCCTACTTTCAACTGTTTGCACAAATCTTAATCTGTTGTGAAGAAAGGTAGCATATAAGAGAAAACGTATAAAAACTAAGATATATCATGTAGTACTTATAGCTTAATATATTTAATATATCAGCATGACTTTATTTTATTGAAGCCATATTGCTTTGACAATCATTTGAAATATATAAAGCCACATTATGTGAATGTGACGGACAGTGCGGCTCGTTACCAAAAGATAAAAGTCTGGAAATATTAACATTTCCCGTCTCTCTTTCCTAAAGGTGGTTTCATTCTTTATAAGAAAAAGAGGGCAAACAAGGAAGAAAAGATTTATCAGATTTATTTATTCTTTTTTATCAAAGTCAGGTCTTTAAAACCTCCAGCATTGGTGCAGCTACACTTCACCTAATGTGTCCTTATTTCTATCAGGAACCAAAGATTTATAGTGACCAAGCTAAATGATGGAAGATTAAAAACTTCCTGTCTTTCTAAAAGCTAAACCAAAGGGCTATTTTTCTATCACCTCTTGCTTAACTGCTACCAAAATGTCTGCAAAGTTCAGGGCTTTTATGCATAGATGGCAGAGGTTTAATCTGGATCCAGTGAGACGGTTAGAAAAGCTAGCTGTACAGTGAAAATGAAGGAATTAACAGCTGTGCTTCTGGAGGAGATTTAAGCCATGATGGAGGATAAAACGACTAAAAGAAAAAGTCGTTTTCGCTGTGAAATGACCCCAAAGTGGAGCTTTAAAAGAAAAATCTGCTTTTTTGAATGTATCTTGCCATTGATTTGCATCTTTGTTCAGTTATCACCCATGTTTACATGTTGCATTGTGTTTTATCATGACTGAGTTTTGACTTCCTATAATTATATCCCTGTTTTTTTTATTTTGTTTTTATTTATGCAGTATTTCTAAAAGTAATGCTGCATTGTTGCCTTACTTCTTCTTGTCCTCCTTTAGCTGCAGGACTGAAGGCATTCTGTAACGCTGTGTGCTCCCAAGCAATGAAAAACATTTTTTTGTTATATTTAGATTTTTTATTTGCACAGAAATAAATTCTTTTGTTTTAAATTCATTGTCTTGTCTGTTTTTTTTTTATGTTAATCCATTTTTGTCATTTCATTTGTTTTCTCTTCTCCCTTTTTTCTGTTTTTTTTCCCCCAGATTCCCCGTCTTTTTTTCCCCTCCTGTATCACATCCGTTTCCTGTCCATTTGTTTTTCACATCCTCAACTTGATAACGGCTAAAGCTTCATCTTGCATTACATTTTAATGGCGTCTTTTTGAAGTACAGAAATAGATATGATTGACATATAATTATCCCAAGAAATCAATAAGTTTAATATTTGGCAGATTTTTGCCTCTTGAGTGTCATGCAGTGTCTTAATGTATCTAAGAGAGTGCATCCAGAAAATAATCACCCTTCTGATACCTTATAGCTTTAATCCTAAAGAGATTAAATACTTGTTTTACTATTAAATTCAACCCACAACATACCTTAATAATGGCATGAATAAAGTGTTTGTTTTTTTTTATTTGGGGAAAAATATATTTAAAAAAATCAATAAGGAAATCAGATGTAGTTAAGTATGTGCAGCCTTTGCTCAACATGATGATGCATCCAGCTTTGCAAACCCACCTGTATCCAGTTCAGCCCATTCCTTTTGCTGTTTGGATGGGGAATCTTGGTGCGCAGACGTTTTCTAGTTAAGCTGCTCGAGGATAGGTGTCCTAAAGCCACTCCTTTGGTATCATGACCCCGGTTTTGGGTTGTCCTGCAGAACAGTAAACCATCTCCTTTCTCTGAGGCTTAAAGCTCAACGGAAAAAGGAATCATCTTGCGTACATCCAAACCTACGTTCAGCTCAGGTGCAGGATATTTAAAAAACCCAAACAGCAGAAAAGAGAAAAATCCACACACTTGTTCAAAGCTCTCAGTGTCTTGATATATATGATCATAAATGTGCTTAATGTTGCACATTGTGTTTGTACAACGTTTAGCACCTACCCATAGGCACCTCTGCCCTGTGCTGATGTATGCCCATTTATGGTCTCTCTGTGGGAAAAGTCAGCCGATTTTTTTTTTTTATCATCTACAGCCAATGAGGGAATGGTCGTATTTGACTCTTGACCTATAAAACATCTATTTACACAAAAAAAAAAAAATGTTTTTAATTGGTCTTTATTGAAGTTCCACAGATTCCAGACCTGGTTTTAGTTATTCTACAACTAGTGTAGAATAATCTAGTCCAGTGTGATGTGTCTAGGTCACGGGTTGCTCAAGTCCAGTCCTCAAGAGCTGATATCCTGCACCTCATTGATGCACCCCATTTTTAAAACACCTGAATTAAATGAGTGGCTTGTTACCGTTCCTCTGCTGATCTAAATGAGGGAATTGAGCCTTTAGATTCAGGTTTGTTAGGTACGGTAAGTGATGCATCTAAAAGTTACAGGATGGTATCTCTTAAGGACTGGACTTGAACACCCCTGGTCTAGGTGTTGTAGTTTTAATTAGAGTAGATTGAAGATGCTGAAGGTAGCGAAAGTTTAGTGGAATCGACCTTTATTAATTTCCTGATTCGGAAGCTAAAATCAGAAGCTTTGTTAAAAGTTCACTGGATCTGGATTTTATCCAGGGTTCATTTGCATTGCTGCATTTGTCTTTTCTTCCACCTTAATCGGCTGCTGAAAAGCATCCCCACGCCATAATACTCCCACCACCATGCTTTATTATTGGGGTTGGTATTGGCCACCTAATGTTCGATTCCTGGTTTCATCCCAACATGATGCTTTGGATTCCTCCTAAAAAGTTGTTAGCCTATTCAGTTCTGAAGGCGCTTTTTACTGAAGCATAGCTTTCTTCTGGATTCTGTCATGCTGGCAAGCTTGGTGAATTACTGCAGATTTTTGTCCTGGAAGCTTCTTTCTCAAAAATATAGCCTCGTATCTCTAATAGATTGACTATTGGGTTTTCAGTCTACTCGCTGACTAAATAGGTAAGAAATGTCTTTCTCCCTTGGTTTGGATGACCACCCATCACAGCAGCATTTGATCCCATCTTACATTGGTTTTCATCTCCTAGACATTATATTATAGATGAGTTTGGGATTCATCCTGTCTAATCAAACCAGTTTACCACAGCTGCACTCAGATGAAGCTGTAGAAACATCAAAAAGACAGTCAGAGGGACAAAGCTGTTTTTATGTATTAACCAAAAATTAAACCTGAATCTTCAGAGTCAAGACAAAAATAAAGACAGTCATTAAGCTACCGCTGATATGTTAATGAGGTGAGGAAATAAAAGGCAGATCAATATATATAAACCTCTATTATTTTTTCATTGTTACATTTCTAGACCAAACTATTAGAAATGAAGTCTTATCAGAGTTGTAAGTCTTTTTTAATGTTCCTCAGTGTAACATGAAGTCATCAAATCTTACTCGAACTGAGCCGAAGGTCATCTTTAGCTTTCATATTTTTTTATTTAGCATGAAACTTTTTTTTTATCAACTTGCTCTAAATATTACCAGTTACTGCCAACCAGTGGAAATGAGCCACATCTCAGATGAAACAATATAAAAGCTCAGAACGTTATGCCAAATATTCTGCATAAACCACTTTATCATCAGCGGATAGTATTAATTATTTTAATGTAGTTGTTTATCTTAACATAGTTTTACTGTTTTTTTTTTATCAAAACTTTATTTATAAAGCACTTTTTTATAGGAGAAAATACCTAAGGTGTTGAATAAGTGAATAAAAATACAAGATGAAGTTATGACAAAAGCAGAAAGTAAAACAATAAAATACTCAGTAAAAGATGATTTTTTTTTAAGTAGATTTTGTTTTATAGATTTTGACTTTATAGAAAGAGTGAGTCTGTTCCAGCGTTTATAGGAGCTGCAGCTGAAAAGCTTGGGTCTCCCCTCAGGAAACAATCAAGAGCACTTCTCCAAAATAGGCTCTCAAACTTTCCTCTTCTGACCCACAAATGCGACCAGAATGGATTCATGACATAAACTATTGGCTTAGTATAAAAACGCTTCTTCAAAATGAACTAACCAAAGGTGTAATTATATTACAAACAGTATCTGCAACCAAAGTAGATGCTTTTGTCCATTTTCAAGTGATGCTCTTTTGTCTTTAGTTTAATTTCTGTAGTGGATATTAAGACCCCTCCCTGGTTGATAAAGGTCACAAAAGCTTTGGGAATTGTTACTCTTCAAGAAAAATAATTGGGTTGTCAGGCCATTAAGTATTTAAAAAAAAAAAAGAAAGAATAGACAAAAACCTTTGGGGTAAAGTGCTCACAAATATTTTTTTCTTTTTTATTATAATCTCCAAAACTTAAAGGTTAAAAGCCCTCCCAACCATGACCCTAATCTTTAGGTGCCCCTTCAAATTATAGTTGGGACTTTTGACTGGGCTGTTCAAAGACTTTCTACTTCTAAACAGAAAAATAATAGCAATTAGAAAAATATTTATCTATTTATACAGGTAATACGATCAAACACAACAGAACGTTTCTATCTAGGGAAAGTCATCTGATTGCGAGGACTCATTGACTCTCTGCAATTCTTCACATAGAGCATGCATATGGTGATAGTGGAGAGAAAAATTCCCTTTTAGCAGAAAGAAATCTTCAGCAGAGCCAGGCTCAGTGTGAGCGGCCACCTGTCGAGTCCGACCAGGGTTCAAGGAGATGGAAGCAAAGACATAAAAAAAAAATAAGTTAATTGGTGCTCAGACATCAGCAGAAGACTTTGATGCTGTGAATCAACATTCGCTTGGATGAGAAACCTAGAAAAGGATTAGTCCTCCCACCAGGGTCTGACATTAGTGGTGGAATAAGCCAGAGAGGGATTAAGAATAATCTGAGAATGAGGGAGCTGGGATGGAGGTAGGTGACAGTTCACTTGCGTTCAGCCGGGAGCTAAATGACAGGGACCTTGAAAGGTGATTGGCTTCGGAGAAGATGAGGCCCCGAGTTGACTGGCTGGAGGTAAACAACGGACTTCACAGGTGGTTCAGGCAAAGCTGATAATATTCGTCCAGATTGAATTTTTGCTTAAGCTTCATATTTAAAAATAAATCTACTTTAGCGTTTTTGATGGCAGCTGGTGTCACTTTATTTCTGCTGTAATGTGTGTAAAAGGCAGTCCTTAGTAAAGTTATGCTCATTTATTTGGGGTTCACTGGGGCCTTAAAGCCTAAGAAAAAACCTTGTGGTCCCAGAGACAGTAATCATTTATAACTCCTTTTCACCAATTGGTTTTCACCAGACCTACTCTATGTTTTCATAAAGGTTTAACTTCAGTGGTTGCTTGATTCTAGTTGGTGAAACAAATTTATCAATTCTATCAAATCAGGTTATTTGTTTGGTGTTAAGCTTATTTTGATTACCTAAGTGTGACAGAAAACACCTGTGAGGTGGAAACTACTTTTTCATTGCTATGTTTATTTACAAATACAGCAAAAAGTCTGAATCTTTGAGGTCTGAAATGATTTAAAAAACCTAATTGTGGTTAGAACTGTTGCCCTGGAAACACCCACAGAACATCTGGGTTTAGATGCAGCACTGCCACCCAAACGTTTTTAATGACGACAACTTCAAATTTACTAATGAATCCAACTCATAAAAAGCTATTTCTTTAAGATGCCATTGGTCAGATCAGCGGTGAATCGAGACCAAATGTGGGTCCAAGATGAGGCCAGGGTTTTTTCATGGGGGCACATGAGAAAAGAATAAGTTACCCACAAAGCCAAGTTTCTAACCCCCCTTAGCTGACAGATATAAACCGTAATACTATCCTAATACAATCGATATTAACTAAATAAGCTTTATATTTTTTGGAACAAAAACTAACACATACACTTAATTCTGCCATGACAGCTTGTTTCGGCTTTATTTCTCTATGTTTTGGTAATCTTTATCATGGCGGTACAAAAACAGCCAAAGTAGTTTTACTACTAATACTTTTTTTTTTAATACTTTGCAACTGAAGTTTAAAGTGATACACCCATATAAGTGACAACTATGCCCAACAAAC